TTCGTTCCACTTGTCGGGGTTCTTGTACGTGTCGACGGACAGGGCGAGCTCCCACTCGCTGGTGCGCGAGTAGCGACGCAGGGCCTCAATCACATCAAAGAGCTCGGTGGGGCTGGGGGATTGGTTCAGCTCGTCGACGAGGACGCGCTGGTAGATGCACGGCTGCGAGGCGGCCTGGGTTCGCAGACGCTGGACGGCCTCGACCGTGGCAGAGTCGTGCTCGGCGTCCCAGGCTAGGTTGCCATCGAGCAGGGCGTGGAGGATGCTGTTTTCGGTCGAGGTAAGAATGTCGTAGCAGATTTTGCTGACAGAAGGCACTTTGGAGCCGACGAGCGTGTCGCAACCGCGAGCAATGTCGCGGAGGAGCATTTCAATCAGCTGGTCGTAGCCCTGCTTGAGGGCATTGACGTACTCCTCGCGGGTGCGGTCGCGGGGCTGGATGCTCTCAACGTGCAGAGGAGACGTCGGCCGCGTCGACTCGGCAGCCTCTGCTGCTTCTGCTGGCGACATGGAGTGGTTGGTGGTGTTTGATGCAACAACATAGCGGACGCTGCTAGACTGGAGCTCTGCTTCGTCTTCCTGCTCCGTCTCGGCCAACCGAGCCGAGTCGTGCTCCTCTGCTAACCGCATGCTGTACTCGAGCGTGTGGCAGGTCAAAACTACCACATGTTAGCACACTGATCAAGGTAGGCCACGTGATTTGGGTGATTTGTGGTGATTTTGATCTTCAGGGCCAAGTTGAAATTTGAAAAGTTTTGGGCGTGAAATTTGCAAATGACTTGGTTGAGACGCGAATTTTGAACTTACTCTGGGCATCGTCGGCGTCAAAGTGGGCGGGTTGCAAGCGGATGCGCTTTGCCGAGTTGTCGGATTGCATCGAGGCCTGGGTAGATAGCGAGTCGGAGGACCGCTGGCGCGATGAAGAGAGCGAGGCCATGCTGAGAGAGAAACCAGATGCGGTGGATTGGAGTCGAGGCGAGGAGATCAGGTATGCGGATAGGGGAGGATGAGTTGGTGGGCGGGATGCCGAGACGGGGGTGGGATGCGGTTGGGATGAGGGAGCTGAGCTGAGCTGGAGGCTGTCTCGGGCCCGTCTTGGGATGTTTCGACGAGGCGTGGGAGAAATCAACAAGAAGCAGAAAAGACGGACAGCACGGCGACGGGGACGGGGTTTCTATGGTGGTGGTTTGGGAGGAGGGTAGAGGTGGTGGTGGTGGAGGTGGAGCTTTGCGTAAGCGTCGCGGGGCCAGTGGCCAGAAGAGAGCAGCGCGCCGCCCCGAGTCAGCACTGGGACGTCGTCGTCCACACACAGACTGCATTGTAGTACCCATCACGCATCTCGACGGGAGTCCTGAAGCCTGTCGTCGCAGACTGCCTGCTTTGTTTGACCGGCTCGACGCGATCTTCACCGTCCGTCTCCCCGCATCACCGTCTGCGTCTTTTTTGTTGTTGCTTGTTTGCGCTGATCCGCCTGGATAGAATCCATTCCAGGCCACCACCAGCGTCCATCACGAGAGAGGAATGTTTTGATGGTGTGTGGATTTTTATACAAATGTACAGGAGACATGCCACTCCTCCTCTGCCAAAAGAACGTTTCCTCTAGCTCCAGCCCAGCGTCTTGAGACCATTCCGTGAACTCACCTCATCCCTATTCCATCCCTATCAGTTCGGTCCATCTGCGTCTTATCGGCGCGCATGCAGCGAGTGGCAGTTTTAGGGCTTCCCCTTTGCCGTCATGTGCATACTGATCTCCCCAGTGTGTTAACGCCGAGCTCTCCATTCGGCATCAACTTGGTCTGGCAATCTCGAAAGGAGGCCTCTATACGCAGTATGTGAACAACCAAAAGGGATGTTGTAGAATTGCCATCGTCTGACGAGGGATTGACTGGCCTCTCCATCCCTCTCGTTGCCATCTCGGCCGTCGTCGTCCCTTCTCTGGCGGCCTTGCATTGGGCGCTGGAGATGGTTACCTACCTCTACACCGCAAAAACGCTCTGCCTCTGGCCGGGCCTGTAACAGGATGCGCTCGGCTACCCCAAAAGAGCATTCATTTGCATCGTCGCGTAGGTGGGAACGTGCATACAGACATGTCGCCGGCTGGGGGTCGGGTCGTCATCAAACGAAACAACGCCATGCGTCATCGCCGTCTACAAAAATACTTTGATCAATGTCCGTCGGCTTCGACTTGCGGTGCGTGCGACAAGAGACTAGATTGGCTGACCGACGAGTGAGAGCATTTCGTGCCAGGGGCCATCCGATGTCCATCACCACCACCGCTGTAGCCAGCTTGCGATCAGCGCAGCAGCCCATCTCCAACAAGTTGCCATGCCCGTCGACGACACATGAACTCTCCTGCGTCATCCCCTCTGTCTCCTGGCTCTCCATGCGCTTCCCCGAGACATGGGCGTACGTCGTCCCCCACGTCGCAAACCACGTTGCTTCTTCTGTCTGCCGTGAACGATTCAAGGACGGTGGAATGTGTCGACAAACCACGGCGCTTGTGTTGTGTTGGCGACGGATGGACGGGTCGCTCCCTGCGTCGGCGTGTTCCGCTCCCTCCCGACCAGCCTACCGCCCTCGCTGTCCACTCCTCGTGCTCCACCAGTCGCTTTCCTGTTGTTCATCTTTCCTCCTCTCCATACGACACGCTAGACCCACGCGGTCCGGCCTCGACCATGTCCATCCGCTGCCCATCCTGTCCGCTGGCCTGCTTCCTTGTCCACCGTCCATCTCTCCGCCGCGCCGCCCTGTCTTCCGCTCCCCGCCCCATGCGCCGCGCCGCACCATGAAGCTCCCCGATCCATCATTTGATGGTAAACGCGGTCGATTGATTGGCGGACGGGGACGGACACCAACTCAGTCACATTTTTTGGGCCTTTTGGTCGAGGGGTAACGGTGAAGAGGGGGACCGCGTGGCATGGCTTCCCGCTGCTCGTGATGCTCGTTGGTGTCGTTGGCCGTCGCTGCCGCTTCTTCGCGCGAGCGCGAGCGCGAGCGCTTCTTCTGCGTCGACCGGGCTTGAGTGGGCGGAGGGGGAAAGCGTGGTGCTGATGCCGCGCTGCTGGACTTGGATGCGGATGGCTGCTGCTGCTGCTGTTGCTGTGTCTGCTTCTTGTTCGACTGGGCCGCTGGCGGAACGACTGCGCGGCTCGCTGGCCGAGATGCTGTATTCAGCGAGGCCTTCTGCTTCTGTTGCTGCTGCTGCTGCTGCTGCTGCTGCTGCTGCTGCTGCTGCTGCTGCTGCTGCGACGCGTACGACTGGCGAGGCGCAGAGACAGAAGCAGGACCAGCAAGAGGACGCTCACTCGTCATGGCGGCCATGAGGTCGGCCACCACGACCGTCTTTCCCGCCGCCTTTGCCTCCTCGTAGCCCGGGTCGCTCTCATTCGGGACAACGACGACGCCTCTGCGCTGCTGCCGACGTTGTTCCTCGCGCCGCGCCCTTTTCTCCAACTCCTCCTTCTCGTGCTGCTCGTCCTGCTCCTTCAGCTCTTGTTCTTTCTTTGCGAACTCTTCGTCCTGTTCCTCCATCTCACGCATAAACTGGGCGGCTTCCGCATCGGTCATGTTGTCGAAGAACTCACGGAGGCCCTTTCTGCGGGGCATGGTTGCGGCTGTGAGGGGAGCGAGGGCAGGCGGTTGCGTTGGCGGGAGGTTGGTGGAAGGATTGTGCGAAGGTGTGGAGGTGCGGGTGAGGTGTGATGTCGATGATGGCGAAAAGCGACGATGGGCGAAGAGGCGGGCTGATGAGCGAGAGCGAATGGGTCTGCGCGGGCTTGATGTTGTGGAGTGAAGAGGGCTGCCGGGCTGACGCGGTAGGCACCTGGAACTTGGTTCGCGGTGCCAGCAAGTCAGGTACATGTAGGTTGGTGGTGTGGGACGGATGGTGTGGAGGGAAAGCAGCCATGCTCCGACTCCAGACCCTATACCATCACACTGGAAAGGCACAGCAATGCCACAGGCACACTACGAAGCTGACAGCAAGCCATGTATTCCTCTCTCTTTCTAGACGCGTCTCTATCTTGTTGCTGCAATTTCTCTCCACCTCGCTCCATGGGCTGAGTCGGGGGATACCTACACACATGTAGCTGCTCGCAAGACGGACAGAACGCAATCTCAGCCCGTCATTGTGTTGGACGGCGTCTACATGTAAACAAGATTCTGACATCCCACGTCGACGAATCAAGAGCTGGGATAGGGGCATTTGGTGGTCGGACGTCTTGTTACTACCTAGGTGCATGAGTAGAACATGCACCTGTACAAGACATGCACGTGGCTTTTACACCTTTGTCGTCATCTTTTTCCTTCAATTTTCCCTTCCACCGACTTAGTCTCGTCGTTGATGCTCCTTGCCAAGCCCGCCTTCTTACTGTCGTCTTCTTCAGTCTCGATGCCAGCTTCGTTGTAGAGCCGCGACTGCCTTGACGCCCTCGCTGTCCCTCAGTGCCAAACAACAGTCGAACACTTACGACCTGCTCGTTCATCTGTCGATTGCGACGCCCCGCAAAACCTGGGTAGGCGTCGCGGCGGTGTGCTCGTAATTTTCCTCGAAAGGGGTCAAGTGCGTAAGCGATGGAGTCGTTTGCGATCTGTTGAATATCGCGGTTCAGAAGCACGAGAGATTTTGATGATTTTAGTTACCCTTTAAAGAACGATACTCACGCCCTACCGTCTACTTCAATGTCTCTCGCTGTCGTGTCGCCTGTCTGTCTCGCTGCATCTGTCCGAGCAGTCGATCCACGCCGCCCCATGCCCGCCCGCACCCAGTTCACACCTACACCTCAACTGACACCTAACTTATTCGTCGCTGGTCAACGCAGCTAAAACAGATGTTCCTCTCGACACTGGTGTTCCTCCGCCTTCGTTCCCGCCCTCCGCTCCGCCCCCGGGCCCCGCTCCGCCCAAAAAAGCCCCCAACCTCGCCCCTAGCCCCCCAAGACCCCCCAGACTCATAAAAAGACAAAATATATATAAAATAGACCTTAAAAAGGCCAAAAAAGCGACCAGCATGGGACTCGAACCCACAACCTTGCCCTTTGGTCCTCGTAGGAGGGGCACGCGCTACCATTGCGCCAACCGGCCGATCTGTTGATTTTTTTCTGGAATTTGCACTATATATAGTTCAATTCCCGATTAGGTAAGGTGCGGGCCGAATGATTACCGAGGCCGAAGTCGTCCCGGAATGCCGCTTTGGGCTAAGCGCGGCGATCGCGCGTGTGTGGTAGGAGTTGGATTAAGGCGATGGGGTCGTTTTTGGGTCTTGTATGCGCTGGGAATGAACGGGAGCTGGAGATTTGAGGTTGCAGTCAGCAAGGCGGTTGATCGTTTGAGTTCGCGGTACTCTGCGGCGTGCCTGTGAGCTCCTTGGAGTGATTTAGTTCCTGCATCGCTAGCTTTAGCAACGCTTGGTTTATGTTCGAAGTCGGCGGGCTGCTCATGGACACGGCGTGGAAAGAATGAGACGGACTCGAACAGGCGTGAGCGTGGGACTCGGCGCGTGGTGTACGGTCTATCTCCTGGTGTCTTTCGTGAAGATGGCGCGTCTGTTGCCGTCGTGGTGTGGATGGATTTTGGTGAGCTTGGATTAGTGCAGACTTAGAGCAATGCACGATGTAAAGCACAATCGAGGGGACTCACAGCGGATAGCGGGTAGCGTGTTGTGCGTCCAATGCGCGTTCTGCCGGTGTTGGTTTTAGCTCAACTCTTGTTATGGTGCCGGCGCTGTTTAGTTTCGTACTGTTGCGGTATTCCGGTGTGTTGGTCGATAGAGGGCTCCGGGCCCCGAATCTTGGTAAGGCTTGTAGTGAGTTGATCTTTTCACTCTTCTCTAATTTCTCTGGGTAGACTAGAGCTTCGGGGGGCTCGTAGTGGATCTCGATCAGAGAGTACCTCGCTCTTGAGCACGTTGCCAACCTGGCTTGGGGAAAATGTTGTTCAATGAAAATTGTGGAAAATCCGGATCGAGAGCTTCAATGCGCAGGTGATTGATCAGATGATAAGTTCAATGCGACAGTAATTCTGCTTTGGTAGCAGTGAGCAGACTCGTGAATAAGGCAATAACGGTTGACGTCAGGACGTGACACGATCATGAACCAGTCTCGCGCGCTTTCCCGCCCAACTCCAACCATCTTCCAACACCATACGCGCCGAACACCATCAACTACAGCAATGCCTTTGCTATTGCCGCTGCCAATCAGAGCGACGCGAGAAACCTGCCGGTCAGAAATGCATCTCGTGGCGCCGAACTTCGGACTGCCTTTGATGGGACCGGGAATTCGACGATCAACACCTCCGTTCAACCCTTTCACGCCTTTCGCGTGTCCATCGTGAGCAAAGCCCGAGCAAGAATTTTCACATGGAAGCCGGCCACGCAGCGCGTCTTATTGGCCCAGCCATGAGGTTGCCCTAGGTTTAGTAGCGCGCAGCTTCATCATGCATCCCGCTGAGCAAACGAGCGGATATCGCAAGAAGAATGAGAAAGAGATGAATTCACTGCATCGCCGCGCATGCATAGTAGACAGCACCGAGCAGATCATCGACATTCAATCGACTCATCAACCGTGACGGCTGTAGCCGAGCAACGCGGCTGTCCCAGATGACGTAGCAACGCCGCCTCGCTGGTTCACCAATACAATTCCCTGGAGAGCACACCTGCCTCTGTCTGGCCAAACGTCGAGCCCCGGATTTGCGCAGGCAAGCCGAATTGCCGGGACCAATCATCTCAGGAGAACGGCAGGAACAAACCCAACACAGTTCCCCACCTCCTTCTCGGACCCCTTGAGCGACCATGAAAGAGATTCTGCCGTGGGGACTGGTATCCAAGAGGCCAATCTGGAACGGATTACGCCAAGGGGGTGTTCTGATACATATCACGACATACACGGCCTGGACCAGCCCAAACACACCTCCTTGAGAGGACCTCCGCCGTTTTGGCCGACTAGAGAGGATCCGAGACACCCGTCTGAGGAAATTCCCGTTGTTTGCGCTGCCGACCGAATGACTATCCGGAGACGTTCAAAGGGATACATGGCCGTTGTGCCTCGGTCAATCCTTTCGCGGCGCCCTATGCCCGAAGCGGCAAAGCAACAACAACACGGTCGTGGGGTCGTGTTTTGCAAGCAGACATGGCGTCGCCAGCTCTCGTAACAGAACCGCCATTTTGCGGTTGCCACGACCCTCGAGCAGCATCTTTGCAGCGGAACCTTGGTCGAGGTCAGCAACGGCCATGTTGAAGCAGCGTAAGCTCGCTGAAACGGGTGCACTACTCGCGGCCTAATCATTAGACGCGACTAGAAACGGCCTCACAAATCCAGGGAGTAGTGGTCCAACCAGTCCCGACGACGTCAATGGTCATATGAGGTCGTAGACATGTGCTTGATTGTGATATATTTTCAGAGCATTCCCCCGACTCGCGCGCAGCACCCCTCATTCCAGCAGTCCTAAATGCCAACTCCGCCTGGAGCGGTTGCGCGCCTGGTCAATCACTTTCATGACGAATCCCGCCATGTCGGTTCCGTTTATGCTTCCCATGACACAACAACAGGCACTCCAACAGCAAACACTCTTCGCCCAGCCAAACCCCTTCTTGCAGGCCACCTATCTTGTGCCGGTCCAAGTCCCGTTGGATCCACGGCAGCAATTCCAACAGCAGCAGCAGGCCCAGCAACAACTAGCAAATACAATTCGTGGTCACCAGCTGCAACTGCAACTTCAGCAACGCACTCAGCAAGACCTCCAGCACCAGCTTCTCAGGGAACAGAAGAAAAAGGAGTTCAGGTTTGAGTTTTTCCAGAAGGTTGACGAGGCTCAACTCGAGGAGCTGCGCGCAGAGAGATCCTCTCGCCCTCTGACTATATACCCACCGCCTGCAGTTCAGTCTCGTCCTCGTTACCATGGCCGAAATTCGTCAATCAGCTCGGCCCATTCCAGCCGCAGTCATGGCACCTTCTACTCGCCCTCGACCTCGCAATCGCAGTCGATGCAGGGAAGCCCGAGGACGTCGAGCGCACTTTCGGGCCATGTCTTCCCCGACATGCAGAGACTGAGCCTCGCATCCCAAGCGTCCTCCCAGTCGCTGGGACCCTCCTACTCCCAAAGACGCCCGAGCGTCGCGCCATTCCAATGTGCCATGTACGACCCAAATAACCCAGAGGGATGCAAGCACCACACAGTCCGAACAGCGCTCGGTACCGATGTCAGCGTCAATTGCAAGACCTTCGCCTTGAATACCGGTATCACTGCGTCTCGATATAATCCCCGCGGTATCACACCGTCTCGATATCATTCCCGCGACACTCCGACCCCTGTGCGCAGCCAGGCCGATGTCGACACTCGAGAGGTTGAAGCTGCCATTCGAATTTACATCTCACAACTCGCCCTTGCCATTTGGCACCAGTCCTTGCCCGGTGCGTCCCGGCAAGATCCCGCTATCAAGGATGTCGACAACCGGCTCGTCTCCGCAGTGCTGGATCTGTGGCTTGTCACCGAGCGCAAATTCAATTTTCGACACAATTTCGTGCCCTACGGCAGTACATTGAGTGGTGAAGACGGAGGGAAAGGACAGGGAGCAACGTTTTTCTTCGAGCTGGGCGACTCGACGCTGAGATGGGAGGTCGAGTCGTTTGCAGAGACGCAGAAGGCGCAGCTGGAGAGGGAAATGTATGCGCCCAAGAGCATCACGAAGGAATGGATCCAACGGCCAGTCGTAGGTCTTGCAGCGGGTGGGAAAAACGGCGCAGGCCCCAGGAGCGGCGGCGGTCCCATCAAGCTGCAAACCACGCTGTTCAAGCGCACCTTCATCTTCCTGGACGCGATCGAAGACTTTAGGAAGACCATCTCCAATCGCCCGGCGACGGGGAGGTTCCGACTCGTCGACACGTCGCATCAAGAGCTGACCAGGGCTTGGGGCTATCAGTCTTTGGATCAAGTCCGCAGCTCAGGCCGCTTCCAAGGATGTCTCCAGTGCGACAAGCGTACTCGATGCGGGGTGGTGAGGCATCCGCAGACGGCAGACTGGGTCTGCAGCGGCTGCTTCCAATACGCAGATCCAAACAAGCCGCAAGAACTGGAGTGGTCGCGCAAGGAGTCCGTCTGGAGATGCGATACATCCCGCATCTCGTTCCCATCTGGCATTCAATGCGGTTGCCTGTTCCATCAGCGCGCGCGTCTCCAGTCTCTTCAGCGCGAGGTTGCTACCAAACCCCAGAAGCCGGAGAGATCCAGGCCGACAGAGGCCCTGATGTATGAAGTTCCCGTCCCTTTCACGATACACGCCGCTGACAGCCCCAGTAGTCGAAAGGAGGCCATGCCCGCGCGAGCTGCGCCTTTGGACAGGCACGAGCGACCGTCGGTGCGCTTCGACGAGCGCATCAAGCAGATGGGCCAGCGATCCGCGACGCCGTGTCCTGCGGCCCTCAACGAGCCGACGCCAGCAATCAAGAAGCGCCCGTCGCCGCACCGATGGCCTCGGTCCATCCTGCGGTTCAACAGCGTCATGAAGACGACGGTCGAAGAAGAGTCGTCGGACACTGGCTCGTCGGGGGCCACCAGCGTCGATGCTACCTTCGGGAGCGGCGCCAGCAAAGGCTCCTCCACCCCTCCCTCCTCGCGGACCTCGAGCGACGAGGATGCTATACCCAGGCCTTCTTGATTTGCTGCCTGCCTGTCGCTTATGAGGTTTTGGCAACTCTACTTTCATCCAGTCGTTTCGGTCTGCTATGCTCTCCCGGCTCTGGCGATGACTTATTGATTTGGGCGTTTGAAAGAAGGTCGGCGAGGAAGACTAAGACGAAAAAGAAGCAAAAAAAGAAACCGCTCGCTGCAGTCTCAATCGTTCCGTGGTGTGCCTTTCATCCTCCTCATCACTCTCGCTTGCCATGACGCTCTCGCTCTCAATCGCAAGATACCTCTCGTTGGATAGATACCACTCGCTTCTCCCCAATTGCTTTTTACTTCTCACGATCGCTGGTTGTATTGCAGGGAAGAAAGAACGGAAAGACGGGAATTTTCGGGTGTGGATACTGCACTTCACACTTCGCGCCACTAGCTAGATTGTCACGTTCTATGAAATAAATGCAGATGTT